AAATGTTCAGAAATGTTGTTTGGTAGCCAAATTTGATTTTCAGCCAATAAAGTGGACTGGATGTGGTTTTTTCGAGTTCATGTGTTCTAAAAAGTTGTTTAATTTTTCTCTGGCTATAATTTGGACAAAGAAAATGAGTGAAAAAAAATGTATTCCCCGCGAGTTATGGTCGAAAAACTGAAAAAATTTAGAATTTTTCGGACATTTTGCCCACTTGTATCCACCAAATGTGATTTTTTTGATGAATCGTTATAAAAATTAATGAACAATCTTAAGAATTAAAAATAAAGCGAAGTCAAGCCGAAACATACGATAATTTCTATGAAAATGAGTCTAATTTTGATGATTTTATTGATTTTTCGACAATTCCCAAAATCTCCAACTACATAGATTTTCTGATTTGTGTGGATGCAATATAAATCGCTTTAAAAGGTTTGCATATTTTGTTTTCATTGATCCACGTAATCCAAGCTAGTGCTGCTATTAATTTTCCAAAATAGCCTACACTGAGCAGCGCCCTACAGGGTGTGCATGTAAACGGGTGATATGTAAATGAATGCACTTTGGAATGAATGATTTTGGCTGAAAACTGTCTATTTTTGTATGCCCTTTTGTATGAATGTTAAAAACTGAATATTTTAAATGATTTTTCTGTGTGTTTTTGTATAAATTTGTTGCTTTGATTTTATATTCAAATTAGTTTAATTTTCACACAATTTCATTCTTTTTTCATGAACAATTTTATTTGCCCACTTGTATTTTTCTTTTCTCTGTTGAATGCGTGTATCTCGCATCAACAAATGTCATGAAAACGCACAAGCGAAATCGATTATCTGTTGATACCGAGAATAAGTATCTGTATATTTATTATAATATGCCACCGCTCGAGAAATGGAACCCGAGGAAAGCGATTGTTTACTTTCTGAACGATAAGGCAAGACGAACAACAAATGCGACCGAAAAGACGAAAGAAACACCGTACTACAAAGGCATATTTGATGTGGCTGATGTGATTGCTGACACTGACGATGAGCAACAATCTTAACAAAAATCCAAACAAAAAAAATTTCAATGTACTTTTACTTCTTTTACTCTTCTTATCGATAAAGCAATAAAAAACAAGAAAGTAAATATGCCCTTTGTATTTTTGAAAACTGAAGACCTTTTTTTAAGGTCATTGATTTTTTCAGCTCGAACGGTAGTTCTTAAAAATTCTTATTTTAATCACTGTACGAAACCACTGAATATTTTTGCATACTTGTTTGGAAACCAATCGAAAGTTTTTTGTGTTCATGTACTGCTGTGAAAAAATGCGAAATTATAGCGTTTGTATAGGGTTTGTACATTCTTTTCGCTTGTCAAATTATGATTCATTTTTTGTTGAAATTTTTTTTCAGTAAATCAGCTGAAACATTTGGCGCAAATCATTTCCCTGCGTTTAATTTTCCTCTTCACGTTTTCTTTTTTGCATTCATAATTTAATTTTTTTATTAATTTGGGATTTTGCCGCCTCGTGCAAATGCACGCCTTGCACTTGTCCAAATCCGGCACCGCCAACCATAAAACATTCTATTTTTGAATTGAACGTTTTCCCGCCACTTTTAAAAATCCAATTGATCGTTTGGAATAATTCCGAACGAATTGTGCGGTAGCTGCTATTTCAAAATATCCACAGCTATTGCCTACAAATAGCAACTACTAATAGCTCAAAATATAGCAATATACAAAATGAGACAACTGAATGGCAAATCATTCTTTTGTCTCTTTGTGGACATTAATTCCCACATTTTCGATAAAAAGTGAATGAAACACAATCACGTGTTTAGTACATTTCATTGTTCAATACCGACATCGAACACACCCTTCTAACGTCAGTAATGGTATCTGTCAAATTTTCCGCTCAAAATGACCTATTCATAGCAAACATCTAAACAAAGTCAACGTATTTTTCAATTTTTATTTTTTATTTGGGAAAACTAACATAATATTCAATTTCGAAATTATACCATTTGAAAATTGTTGTGCCGTTTGTTACATACGAATGTGCAACGATTAATTTAGTTGTATCGTCTCTAAGCCTCACAAGAAGCCATATCCGCTCAATTTTCGACGAACTATCGATTAAAAGTGGTAAGAATGCGGTCTGAAGCCATTTCATCGTCGAAAAATAGGTCGGATTGAAGTGAATTTTTCAACTTGTACTTTTTGCACTGAAAATGATATTTTAGTTCGGAAAACACGTGAAATGGACCTCTGACGACGTTTTGGTCTTAGAAAATTGCTATTTTTTCGTAAAAATAATGGGAGTCTACCAACACCTAAATACCCACTTCGTTGTCATTTTGGTCAATAATCGGCATTTTTACATCTGAATGTATGAAATTGAACTTTTTTTCGGGGAATACATAAAAAATGCACTTCCCAGAGCTTTGGTAGTTGAGAAAAATTATTTTTTAATAAAAAAAATAAGGATCCACAATTACTTCAACATTCCTTTTATGGTTATTTGAAATTTTTTCGCATTTTACAATGTGAAATTAGGGAGAAATGGAACTTTTTGGATGTTAGTGGAAATTTACTATTTCCAGAGTTTTTGAAATATGGATGCAAATGTTTTACGAAAAAAATAGCATCTTCCTAATAATATGACATTTATCTGGCAGAAGTGTATTTTCCCGAAAATAATTGCCTTACAAAAGTAGTGTTATCAGATGAAAAACCTCTAGATGAGGTTAAAATGGAGTGACGCTCCTGTCCGTGCATTTAGCACTCAAAATAACTGATATCATTTTGAGTGACGCCAGGACGCTGTATTTTTACTGGATACGAGGTTCAAAAGTGTTTTTCGCATTCACTATTGTGAAAATTTATTCACAATAAGGAAAAATATCGCGTCACGATTTTTGAACGGCAAAACGCTTGTAAAAACTTGGTCTAAAATCAAAAGTCGTGCCGTGTAATGACAATTTTTTGATGATGACAATTTTTTCACTCTTATGTTATAGGCATTTTGCATGCAAAATAACTCGACTGTCGAAATCACTGTGATTTTCTTTTCTAAATTTGGTTTATGAATGAAAAAGTGATTTTGTATAAAATTGTATAAACAATAAATAAAATCTTCATCAGAACTGTGCGAGAAGATATAAGTATCACCGACAACAGATGACGACACAGAAAACATTCAATTTATCAAAAAGCACGATTCTTTGCTCTAGCAGGCTTAAAACTCTTTCTAACAAACACTTGCGTTCAATCTTCATTTTTGTGATTTTTATTTCATGTTCTTAGGCAGAACCTGCAATTTTCCACTTCAACTCAAGCTCCACCAAGCTTGTTAGCTTCATTCAAGCTCCACTGTTGTTAAATGAGCTTTGTTGAAGCTCCACTTAGACGATTGACTCTACTTTTCCAACGTATTCAAGAAAGCCAATCGCAATTTCGTATGGTTCACAACATTTGACAGGTTTCCGTTAGAAAATCGACTGAATGGTTAACATTTGGCATTTGAAGTTCTTTTTTGTCATTTCCCCTCCTATGCAGGTATTGTAGCACACCGTTTAACACCTTGAATTGTGCACTCACTTGTTGGCATACGTTCCAATTTCATAACCAATTAGCCAAATTTGTATTTTCAGTTGCAAGACGGAGTAAAAAAAACGTCACTGTTTAACGGTACAAATACTTTATTCGTGAGCAAAATAGAATCTCTTATAAATCTAAGGTCGCGTCCTGTTTCGATAAATTAGTTTAATATTTTGCGGTCGTATTTTTCTTTCTCTTTTTCATGTACAAAAAAAAAACATTATAAATTATGTGCAACGAGCTGTGCTGCTTGTGGTATGTTTCGAAAAGAGGAAAATTGTCTATCACATTTCATTTGTTGGTAAAAAAAAATTCAAATGGCAATTGCTCGATCAATTGTTATAATGTCGTTGTGGCCTGAAGTTTAAGGTAGCGATTGCTGTTTTCGATGTCGACGGAATGTTGATCGGCGGCTGCATAGCATACCGTCGACGGTATGGATCGTCGATGATGTGTAATTTTGGTGGCCGCCCAAATGAATGCAAACACACTGGTGATGAGCACACCAATGCTTAGACTTGGCATTAGGCCATCGTTAAAATGATTCATCAGCTGGGAGGCGTATGCCGTTTCGATTGGCGCCTGAATCGTTTTTACCGTCGTTGGCATTTCCGTGCCACGATAAATGCTTGTGTATTCAATTGGCTGAATTTGTTGTCGTTCCGTTTGTATTTGATCGGAAATTTTCTCAAACGATGAAATATCCGAGATCATTTCATCCTCTTCTTGTCTCAATTTCGGTTGCATCGTTTCCACTTCGAACTTTGTGGTTGTTGGTGAAATGGTCACCGGCACAGCAAAATGATCAGCATTCCGATCCGTTACCAACACATTTTCGATTTGCTTCAATTTTGTTATGTTTGAACATCCAACGACTAAGTCTCGTTGATCGTCACTCTTTTGCACCAACACCAAACAAAAGCGATATTTATCACCAATCGCAAATTGCGTCGCATCATACAAGATCACGCTCACAATATTCTCATTCCCCATTTTATTACTCTCGCAGTGCATCTATTGTAGGGAAGAGAGGAAAATTATCCAAGTTAGATCAAGAGAAATTAGACTCATTTGAAAAGGAAATAAGCGTATTAAAGAATAAAAAAATGGAATCGTTTTCATATCATTTGAAACTATCTTGAAACGAAAGTACGATAGAGATTTTGGCGGTGACATGCAACCTTCTCAGTGACCACTGCTTACTCACACTAATTGACATTTACTACGTCAGTATAATATGGCAGCAGTTAGGCCTATAGGCATCAAATTTGACACCGCCAATTGTGCGTACCAATTTCAACCTTTCTTTGTAAATTTTAAACAAAGGAAAATTGAAATGATTCAATCGATTAAAGGAATGTACACAAATCAATCGAAGAAATACCATTCGAAACATTTAGTATTGATTTTTTTAAATTAAAATGGATAAGAACAAAAAATAGTCATTGTTGGAATCGTCATACCGGTAGATTTTCCATGAGGCTTTCATTCCATTTTGATTCTTTGTACACGAAAATGGCATCACATGTAAAATTCGCACTGTTCAACGTTACACTCCAGGTAATTATCAATCCGTAATCCATCGACAAGTGTATCTTTTTCAAAATTATCTGCAAAAAAAAAACGCAAATATTAGTTTGGAATTTTGGAAATAGTCTTCAAAGAAACAGGTGGTATATTAAATCTTAAGAGGCATAATTCCCACGCCATAAGATAATAATCGTGTCTCTTCTTGAAATGGATAAAAATTTGTTTGTTCTAAAAAAAAAGTTCCGAATTCTGAAGAATTCATGTAGTCGTCAGAGAAATTGTCATTTTTCCCTTAAAAATGCAACCCAGAGGAACGCCGCGGAAACGAAATTCCCAGACAAAAAAATGTCCCTCAAGACAAAGTCTAACGTAATTAGCTCAACAATCACTAGCCATCTGTTTGAAATAGATTAAATTTTGGTCTTGACCCATTACGAGCTGAAATAAGGCAGCTTCTACATGCTTTCTGGTATGGAACTTTGAATAGGCCATCGAAGAAAATTTGTAAATTTTATCATAATTTAATTGGTCATTTTGGCCTTCGAGCTCATTTTTGGATCTATCGAAAGTCAAATAGATGAAAACCTGTAGAAGAAAATGAAAAAAATATCGCGTTTTCGAAATAAATTGAAAAAAAAAAACAAATCGTTCAGTTGACCCACTCTAATTGGACACTATACAAGTCTAGATTTAAAGTCACGATCAAAAACTTCCAAATTAGAAAAACACATGATTTTATCAAATCCAAGAGCATCCACACTTATGACAATACCGATAATAGCCAATTAATTGAGTAACTAATTAACTTACGTCGTCGCTGAATTTGTTAACGAATGTCAAATTGTTTTGCTTGGCTCGGATTTCAAGTTGATGCAGTACATTTGCGTTGCTGTTGCGATTCACATTACCATCACAGTTAAGTGAATCCAATGGAATTTCCTGGAGTGTCGCACCTTCTAAATGGGGAGGAGTCGCACAAACAGCACTCAATTGATCCTACACGATAGACAATGAATCGAAAAGTATTTATATGAAACATAAGACAAACACAACGTTATATCGAACTAAAAAAAAATTACAATAATTCTGAATTATGGAATAGCGAACAATAAAATAATACTAAATTTCAAATGGAATCTTTAAAATTGACAGGTTTTCTAATAATCAGAGAATAATTGGCAACTATTTTCGACTTATTATCATAAAACCAGTCAATTATTAATTGAGAAAAAAAAACAACGATTTATTGAAAGATGAGAGGTGTGAAAAGAAAACCTGTAATACCTGTGCTGAAATGCTAGATTTCGACATCCATTCGGCAAACGGCTTCAACGAGCAATCACATGACAATGGATTATCGCGCAACGATAAAGTCCCAAGAGCATTTGCACTGATGAATGCATTTTTGGCCACCATTGATATGTCATTCCCATCGACGCGCAACTCTTTCAACGATGGCAACGGCGTCACTAGATCGGCGGTCAAAGCTCTGTGAATGAAGAAGAAATTTTTTTTGGAACAATATTGACTTTTGATTTTACGTTCTCTTTTTCTTTTGCTTAAATTATACTTTTTTTTCAATGAATTGTTTAGTATTGTTTCTTTATTTGGTCAAGGGGTAAATGACCAATGGCCATCATTACTTTTCCCATGTCGTGCATAGAGAGAATTATTTGGTATGACACAATGCCCGATAGGAAAATTGTATTTAAAGTTTAATTTGTTTAAACTTTGAACCAATTTGATTTTAAAACAAACCTTTTGACTTCATCGACAAGAAAAAGAACGGTTACATACCTTAGAAAATTGTGTGTTAAATTCAAGACTAGCAACCGAGACAAGTGCTTCAGCGATGCACCTGATATGGCGACAATGCCATTGTGGCTCAAATCCAGCGTTTGCAGTGAATTCAGACCAGAAAATGAATGATCTTGCAGCACATCGATTTGATTGTGACGCAGCGTGAGTCTGGTCAAAAAGGGGAAATTCTCAAAAGCACCCGTATAAATGCTGGTGAATAGATTTGTGCCCAAATTCAATGACTCCAATGATTTCAGTACGGGCAACAGATTCCGCGTTAAAGGTCCACGAAGTAAATTCGATGATAAATCCAATTCCCTGCAAGTGAATGATCATAAACGATTCAATTTAGTAATTTTTTCATCCTAGAAGAATCCTAGGGAAGGAAAGGCACTGCAGGTTTATGAGTGAAATCGAACGAGTTTGTCGGCTATGAAATCCATGGAAAAAACTGCACATCTATTTTGAATATGCATACTCGCCTTTCGATCTCACCCATAAACCATAAAGATGAAAACAAGGGTGGCGATCATAATCTCCCAGACGATCGGACAAAATGTGTATGTTCAAATATGTTTATAATACATAGCTGTCTGTCGGGGAGATTATGACCGCCACCCAAAAAAGAATATCTCTTTCTGCACCTTGGAAAATAATCTATTCAAACGTTATCGTTTCTCGCTTGACTTTGATCGATCACAAAGGAAACACTTACTTCAAATTAACACACTGGCCAATTGCTTGCAAATTGTCGCCGATTTCCAACCGATTTCCGTTCAGCTTAAGTGTTTGTAGTTTTTTCAATGTTAAAAATGCTCGCTGCGAAATGCCCGAAATATTGTTATCACTCAGTTCCAAATAGCTCAGATTTTCAAGCATCTAATAATGAAAAACACGAAGAAAACCAGAAGATATTGAATAAAAAGGTCATGACTTTCGATTTGAATAACGAAACCGGTGACTTTTTATCAGGCCCGTAGCCAGGATTGATTGTATGGGGCGGCATGACCAATTTTTGGGGTGGCGCGTAATTTTCAATTTTTCAATAGAAAATTTTTGATATTTAATATCCTGAAACTTAATTTTCCCTTGATTTATTGTAAAATTTTCTTCAACTGTCGTCGATTTCAGCTATCTTGGACTAGCGGCAAATCATTTTCAACCATAAATGCAGTTGCTTTAGTTTCAAATTCGTTGAAACTTTTTTATTTTGTAACTTTTTTATGTCCTCGATGACCAAATCAATCAGTGGGATTGCTCTGACGTAGATCATTTCTCGCGACTGATGCAATTTATTGGCTGGCTCCAATAAATCTAACACTCTTTTCAAGAATAAGAGCATGGGAATGAATTTTGGTTTTTGAATGAATATATGTAAACAATAAATGTCGCAGACGATAAATATTCGTTATAAACAAAAGCATATCGAGAATGATTTTATAGGTCTCAATATCAAGTCATTATAGAAGATGGAATAAAACAAAATTCAGAAGTCGTTCGGCAATTCGTTTGGTAGTGTATCGTTCGGCTGTTTTCTTGTGTTGACTAATACTATTGAAGAACGTAATGTAACTCATTCTAATTTCAATTCCATGAATTATATTTGCTTCACGATTATTCATATTCAAGCATTTCGCTCCGCCACCCCACGCACCCTTCTGGCTACGGGCCTGACTTTTTATTTTTATTTTTAAACGAAAAAACAGACGACATCACATCTGGAATGAAAACTCACCAAAAAATCGGATGCGTCCAAGTATTTAATGCGATTTTGGGATAAAACCAGGCGTTCCAATGCGATGAGTGGCGCCAATGATTGTGATGGTACGGATGAGAGTGCATTATTTGGTAGGCCAAGTTCAAGTAATGGTATTTTCATGCCTAAAAATGCTTGTCGATGAACGCGTTTAATTTCACCTGACGATATCACCAGGCCATGTAATGAGACTCCGTCAAAAATGCGTGCATCACTTAAAAATGTGACATTTTTGAGTGTACAATCGAGTAATGACACCGGGTATCTGGTATTTCTTAAACCGTCCGCAATTTGTTGCAGTCCATGAATATCACCGCTACACCGTAGTGTTTGTGGTATATCACAGCCACATTCCAAATATCGGCTATTTTCGCTGATATTAGGGCACTTCCAATCCGCATAGGGATCGATGCCGGTCGATTTAATTTTTCGCTTGCGCAAATCATTTTTATTATACAATTTGGCAGCGTTCAATGTGGTTTCGATTGATTTCATTGATTTGGTAATTGGTTTAACGGTAGCCAGTGTGTTTGGCCATTCGTTGGGCATTTTTTGTACATTGTCATCATCATCATCATCGGTGTCGGCAATGGCATGATTTATAGCATTTACTCGCAAGCTTTGGTTTAATTGTGGCCTAGTATTTACAGTGGTTTCAATGATACGGTTGATGACAACACGGTGCCCATGCGCCGACAAATCAATCGCCGGTGTATGTTGGGCATCAATTAACGGCTCATTTATGTTCGTCGAATGCACGCGACAGCAAATGACTAGCAGCAACACACTTAACAGATGCAAACTGAAACGAAACACATGCAATCGAAAACGATTGAAAATAAAACAAAACGTAAATACCCAATGAAATTCATATATATATGGTTTAAGATGAACAAGAGGTTTTTTCTTTGATTTAAACCGTTTAAAAGTCTGAAAAAAAAGTCCAAGAAGCAACGAATAACAAAACAACAAAAAAATTGATAACTTCATTCGTCGATGAATATTTTTTTTTTCCGTTTGTTTGTTGGTGATTTATGAGATTGCATGACGGTGGTTGGGCTCATTTCAAATGGAAATCTTCTTAATCAGTAAATTGTGACCAATTCGCTGGCTTTTTAATCGAAATAACAAAAAAAAATCGAGCCTTTTATTCTCCTAAACATTGCGCCAAACCTCTTCGATCGATTCCATAAATAAATACTTTACTGACTTCTATATTACAAAATCCGATTTGTGTTGTTGTTGTTTCTTTTTATATCTTGATCTTTTTTTTTCTCTTTTTGTCTTGCTTCATCTTGATGATTTTCTTAACGACGCGATGGCGAAGAAGAAGAAAGAAAAAACCACCAAAGAATGTCAAGATGTTGTGTCCCACTCAAAATGAGTTACCTCAATAATAATATTAAGCATTTTTCAATTATATCCAACTCACATAACCTACGCAAATTACATGGTGTTCCGAATGTGAATGAGAGAATGAATGAGCAAGCGCGCTCAAGTCGAAGTGCGCGCACCGCACATTGATCGAACGCAACATTCATTAATGCAGTTCTCTCTCTCTCTCTCCGTTTTTTTCTTCTCCTCGTTGGATGATTGGTGTGTTAAAGCCAGATGTTTCGTTGAAACTGGCATCATCTATCGATATAGCACAGTTTTTTTTTTTTGTTTTTCTTTCTCGTAATGGATGGTAAACATCTAATGAGACCATTTCGGAATTTGTGCTCAGCGGTAACAATGAAGATATTTTTCCCCCCTTCATTGAAAGGCGCATCAAGCATTCAAAAACCCAGCCAATTGGCCACATATTCTCTGCTCCGCATAAACCATCAATAAATGGCACTAAAATATCACACGTGCGTGTGTGTGTGTGTGTGTGTGAACGAGCGAACGAGTGGAGTGAGTGAGTGAGTGTATTTGTTGAAAGAACAAGTCTCGCCCACGTACACCACACCGTGTATGCGCGTGAGCGCGTGCGCACATGAGCCAACGTTCACTCTGTCACAAAACTTAATGAATTACTAATGTCGAGAAAGTTGCGTGTTTAAGATTAGAGGCTTGTTCTCTTGCCAAACGATTTATTTCCACACGAAAATCGCTCAAAATCATTCAGTCACAAAAGTCCAACATGTACAGAATAACACGGAATTCATCACAACACGGAAGAGAATCTGAGTTGCATTTTAAATAATCAGCTTCAAATTGAGCTGCATTCCAATTTAGCTAGTTGGTTGCAGATTCAATTTTAATGACATTTTTCAGGTGTTTTTTTGACGATTTTCGTTCTTCATTTTGCTAGTGTGTCTTGAAGATCCATTCAACTAGCCAAGTTAGCCTAATTGTCGTTTTACTCTGAACACAATTCACAGAGACAAACCGAAAAATTTACCTATTCAGAATTTTATTTTTATTTTTTTTAAAATTTTTTATGAAGAAATTTTAATTGCAAGCATTCATTTGAGTCTAGACACAGCATTAGTGTCTGACAGACACTGTCTGTTCCGTTGCGTCTTTTCAAAAAAATTCTACATTGTGCAACAACGAAAATCAATCTTGTGCAGACCAGATTCAGTTACAGTTTAATCAAACAAGTGGACAAACAAATAACATTCATTTACAGTGCAAGAGATCAAGAATGCAATTCTGGTTGCAAGGCGTGTAACATCGAATCATTGTCAACAATACGGCACACAACAAACACACACACACACCACAAAATACCATCTATAGAATTTCGCTATAGCTGGGGCATGTTTGTTTGTTCCAACACTGGAAAAATCACAGTGTCATCGTATCCGAGTGCAAAAAAAAGAGAGAAGAGAATAGAGTCATCTATTGTTTGTCCATTCTTCAATTGTCTCTTAGCTAAAAGCCCATGTCCATTTAAACGACGACACAGCGCGATTAATTTAGAAAAATGTGCGCTAGTGTGCGTGGTAAGAGAGAAAAAGTGCCAATAGATGGATGGGAATGCGATGTATGGCTGAATGAAGAGAACAAAACCCATTTCCGATTCTTTTATACATAATTCGAGGTTTGGTGTTTGTTCGAATGCTCAAATGGTGTGTATGTGTGCTGTGTGCGCTTATTGTGCTTCTCGCATTGTTATTGCCGGTAATGATGACGCGCTGTTTACTAAGCGCACCGACTTTCAATTGATTCTGCTGCTGTTTGGCCGTGTGTGTGTGTGTGTATCTCGGTTTTGTTTTTTGCATCGAGCCTCTTTCGTTTCCGAATTGGTGTTTGATGTTTGATGTAGGCGCAACAGAGACACTCACTCACACCGACATTTTTACCTGGCCGTTTGAATTTTTAACACAACAATACTGAACCGGGCTAACTCGTCGATTGAATGAAATATTCTGATCGCGTAACGCGAAAACAATGGAACATTATAATTGGACGATTTCGTGTATGGATATACTGGAGTGTGTTAATGTTTACTCTAGCATTTGACAACGATGAACGGGCAAAAAGAGCTATTTTCCATTATACGATGAAGATGCAGTCACTTTTTTGCTGCTGCTGCGGCTGCTTCGCGTAGTAAAAATAAAATATATTTATCGCTTGCTATTCTTTTGTACGGCAAAGAGACAAAACAACAACATAAAATCGTTGAATACATTTCCGCTTGTGTCGTGAGTGCCCGCAGAATTCTGGCGCGAGCAAGAATCAACGAACAGCAGCAGCAGCAGAAGAAAAAAATAATAATATGATAAATAACACATTAAGGTGCCGTTGTCACTTCGATTCGACAATCAAAGTCACCTTCTTGCTGCTGTTGCTGTGGCTGTTGCTATTACGGTTGCTTTATTCAATTTTGCCAATTTTTTTCTTTCACTTTCTGATCTATTCGCATTTGAATGGAATCCTTTCGGCAAGGGCGTGTCTATGTTTTACTCACCTGGTTTTTAACATGTTGACCTTATTGAAGAAAATATTTATTGTTGAATGGGTAACGACTTCGACACACTACACTTCGATTCACATTCAATAGATCACGTTCTCTATCGATCACTCGCTTTCTCTATCGGGCTAGATTGATCTCCTTCGTTCTTTCTTTCTATGTCGCTAGCTCGACGCTCCGGTAGAAATTTCTCAATCTCCTTTGTGCTTGATCAGTTTTTTTTTATCCTTCGCTTGCTCTCTCCATTCCTCTCTCTCCTTCTCTCTCTCTCTTCCTTCTCCCCTTCTCGCTCTTAGCGTCTCCACGCGTTGATCGAGCTCAAGTCGCAACTCAATCGGTGCTAACGTTCAAGTATGAATGCGAAACGCATATTTTTATTCAGTTCAACTTGTAACATTTTGGCCTTTTTTCAAACTACACATCGGTCTTGTTACGGTTTCATTTCAACTGTTTTTTTTCTCCATTTGTCGCATGAATCGGCGACTAAATAGACGTTTCGCTAAATTAGAAATTCACTAACTTAAACTTTAAAAAAAACCAGTGATTTGTTTCGCTATTTTCACCATAAACAAATTCAGTTGTCTTTTTGAGTTGTCTCTTTGTTCTTTCACTCTCTTTTCTCAACTTGATATTCATTTATTTATTTATGTTTTTCGGTTTGAAAGCACTGAACAATGATCAAATCGGTGCGCTGAACCAAATTCGGCTGATGAATCGTGTTCCAACTAAAGATTTCTTCACAAAACACCGCGCTCACACACAATGCGTACCATCAAGTCGTTCTTTTTTTTCTCCTTCGGTTTTGCTTATACAATTTCATCGAACGAATGACAATAGTTTTTATTCATCAATCACTTTTCACTGCACAGACGCGCGCAAGACTCTTATTTTGTTATGAAGCAAGCACAAAGCAAAAGCAAAATGCGGGATTGAAACCAAAAACACACACATAGAATCTGATGAATCCGCAAGCAAGATAAGATTGTCGAGCCAAATTCAACGGAATAAACAATTTGAAGCAACATCGAGATGGAAATGATACAACATCGAATGAGCTCGTGCCCTCGACGAGTTGTGGTGCTGCACAAACACACAACGCGCTAGCACATTTTTGGTTCCAACCTACGCACTAATGATCGCATTTTACCATTATTTATTGAAATCACTTTTTCTTTGTGCTTTTTTTTCTCTTTCTCTCGATATTCTTCGTTGTTATTATGGTTGATGTTGTTGTTTTGTGGGGTCTTTCTCGTTGCTCAAAAGATGTTCTTGTTGTTTACAAAAAAAAAGCAACCAAACTGTTCCATCAAATGAGGTATGACAACATTTGAACTATGATGAATATGTTCGGCTTTAAAACTCCAACACTCGGCAACACATCCTAAGAGAGAAAAGAAAAGAAAACGCTTGCAATTAAACAATCAGAGTCAAATCGTGCTTTATGGAAAAGACAGTTATAGAATAAATAATTCTTGTTGTTTAGCACGTTTTCGCCAGCCAACATCGTTCGACAAAACAATCATTTTTTTTTCTTCGGTGTGTCGTGACTTTTTCGTGTGTATGTGTGTGTTCGCTTCTCTATTCTGAGCGTTGTTGTATCGTGCACAGATCACATCGAGATCTGTTTCCCCTTCAAATGATCTCATTTTTAGGCGGCTCATTGACATGCATGGCGCATTGCAATGAACTGCAATATATGACCATTTTATGTGTATGTGCCGAAAAAAATAATGATCACGACGACCGCGACAGAACCTAACACGAACCGCAAAAAACAAACGGACTTGGTAAAATTGTACATGTTATGAAAATCAAAATGAAATCAAAGGTTTTTTGCCCGTTTGTTCATTTTTTTTTCTTCGTCGTCTTCGGCGTCGAAAAGGAACAACGGTCCAAATTTCGACGGATATGTCAACAATGTATCTTGCTCATTGTGTGTGTGTGTGTGTGTGTGTTTTGAATAATTTATTCAATGAATATGAAATAAGACGATGGAAGTGGTGTGTTCCAAAACCACAGAATGATGACGACGAAAGAAAGAAAAAAAACACAACTGAGTGTTGCAGTTTCAAGAAATCCATGCGTCGGTTTCTGAACCTCGTATATTTTTTATTCGGTATAACGACGCGGCTCACTATCGCTTACACCTCTATCTACCTTTATATCTGCCCACACAATACACGGGCTCCAACCAGTAACAACCAACAAATCCAACATCGGGAGAGAAAAAAAAACAGAGAATGAATTGAACAGAAAACAACACCGATGGCTTAACAACGATCAAAGATTTTTCTGCTTTATCTCTTTCGCTCCGTTTTTTTCTGTTGTTGCTCTCATCCGTTGGTGATGTTTATTTGGCCTTTTTATTTCGATGTTTATCGTAGTCCTTGTGATGCACACAAATGTGACACTTTGACGACGACGATTGCGAAAATCGATCACACGACAAAAGTGGAAAAAAGAAGAAATTGCGCACCAAATTCTCTAGTTCAACGGCACAGAATTCACCAATTATTCAGTATTTCAATGAAGAATACACATTTTTCACACGGATACGGCGTTTGATGTGCATTTTTTTAACACTCATTTACATTTTTCAGCGCACACACAATTAATTGCAATTGTAAGTAACACAAAACTCGTACCAAATTTGCGTAAATGGCCAAAATTTCCACCATCTGCTTTCGGTTTTAACAGTGCAACACAGCTAGATAATAACAGTCACAATCGTCATCGACTAGAGTTGTCATCACTGTTGGTTGTTATTTATTTATTTCTCTTCTTTTTTCGTTTTTGTTCGTTCGTCTAATAAACGCGCTTCAAGCCACACGTTCAATCAACACACAGTCCGAAGAAAGATCGCGATCGATCAGACAATCAGTTGAACACAGAGCTATGGCATACAAGCGAGAGAAACCACAAACATCGCATCGTTACGGTGTGATCGCCAAACGAATACTGAACCTGATATGCATTATTCATTGATGATGTCGGGCCCAAAAACACACCGTGTGTACGCCGTCACAACCGCATGCACACACAATGCTATAACTGGTAATGTTTAACTATGCGAAGGCAGATCACTTTTGTCGACTTTAAGCTGCATTGAATTTTTTTTCTCCAAGTTTTTTCTTCGTTTTTTTGTCTGTTTTTTTTCTTTCTGCTTTCAGTGAAGCAAAGGGGAATTGTCGCTTGTTTTTGTTCACGGGTCTGAAAACGCTTTTGAAAATCGAAATACCGGCGATATTAGTATATCGACCGACAATGATCTTACAGACAAACAACTTAAAATAATGAATCGCTTTTTTAAACAAAAACTTTTTGCCGGAAAGTTCTAGAATTGTTGATTAAACGCCGTAAGATATGCAACACCTATGTTTGTCACGACTTTAAGTTATAGTCTATAACTTACGATTAGAAAAATTCAATGGAAATGAATGAATGGTATTTTTTTTCTTATCACTTTTCTCGCTTTACACAGGGCACTATGCAACTGCACATTTCGTTATCACACATTTTACTTCACTTGCGAGCTGAAAATTTCTTAGAATATTGTGATTATGATGCATGATTGAACAAAAATTCACTCTTTCTTCTTGCATTGTTATTTATATGCTTTCATCACTCGCGCCTGCTGTCGCCGGCTAATAAAGATGCAAGGTCAAATTGGTCTAATCACAATCATCGATCTTTGTCGTTTTTTACGGCTCTTTTCAGTTGATGTTATATTTTTAAAAAAATCAATCACTGGAAAATGATTGCTGAAGATGCATTCTGATATTTTACATGTGTTGAACCTTGTTGGGTTAAACCAAATTTCCAGGTAATTTAGTTTGTGAATGCAGTGATTAGATCTTATCAATTGTGTATTTAAGTACGAGCCCCATTACAGTATAAGTATATTGAATTGATATTTTCGTATGAACAGTGACACATTAGAAAAAACATCTCAAAATGATGAATCAATTTAGTGTGGTTACACTAGTTGTAATTTTGAGTGTTGCATTGGTAAAAAGTGATTTCGGTTTGGGACGAGCAAAACGAAGCAATTCGAGAACAAGTCTACAGCAAGGTTGCATAAGAAATCGTCATATTAGACTCATCGAATATCCCTGAATCGAGCCCAATTGTATATTATCAAACATCACCGCAAAATGGTCGAACTGAATATGCTGAGGCGTGCATCGGTAAAGAGCATTTGAAAACCGGACGTCCAACTAATTCGGATTCCCGTGAATACAAAGTATACATTCAATAATTATGTTCAAATGTTTCAAGTTGGAACTTCCAACATTTTTTGAATAATTTCGTTTTTTTAATTTAAAATTTAAAAATAATCTAAATATCCATGTGTAGAAAGAAATGGGTGGACAACCGCATCATGATGCGGGACATGTGAATGGCAATCAACTTGGTGGTAATGTCGATGAAAGAAATCTCTTTCCATAAGTGAGGAACATCAATCGTGGTGCATGGCGCAGTGTTGAGAATAAAGTTGCTGAAATAGTGCGTCAGGAAAATGGTTATGTATGGTTTCAAGTGAAATTACATTATACAGGTGCCAGCAGCACAATCCCCGACAAAATATTGTACGAAGCTACACGCTTACCAAATAATGATTTGCTTGAAGGAGATTGGGAACACATAGCTAGTGTGAATTTCCCAATCAAGTGCCGAATTATTAAATAATAAAATGGTGCAATGTTGAAATATTTTACGAAGATTAGCATCGAATGAAAAATGTAGTATAATTTGTAGCGAGTCAATAAAACATGTTTTTTTTTGCATTACAAAGATGTACATTAATGATCAGCATCAACATGATCTACGTATACAGTCACGATATAAAAAAGAAAAATCAAGATCAGACGCTGTTGACAAATGATTCGAAGAATGATTTTGAAAGTGTTAAGCTACCTTGTATGTAACCAATGTCCAATTTATCATAATCAGCATCGTTTTTATGGCTCTCCAATTCTGTCCTCAATATGCCCCTCAATTTGTCAAACGTCTCTGTTCTAAATCCATCATCATCTATCCTGTTGTACTCCTCGGCGATCAGCTGGAATTCCTTCAAAGCTTTGTTTCGCTTATGCTTCTAACCAGTAGATAGATAGGTAAGTTCAAGACTAAAATAAACTTTTTTTTTCTCACAAAACCATAAAAGATGTAATCGGATGACAAATCAAAAGCCTTGCCTTATCATATTTGCTTGGCGATGTCATTTCATTTAGCATTTCGGACAGATGCCACAGATCCACAATTGTTTCATTTGTGTCCTTGGTGGCATAATCAAAATCTAATAAGAAAATATTACTTTGAATTGGTTTTAAAGAAAACTATCATTAAAATATCATTCATTATGTGAATTGTCGAGATTATTATTGGATTCGATTTCGAAACTGATGCAATTACCAAGCAAATAAATTTTCGACTTATTATGGTAGCCGACCGCAACGTTTTCAGCGTGTATATCATAGTGGGTAAATCCATTTTTGTGCATCCATTCTAAGGCATCCAACTACAGAAGACCATTCGGTCAATGATGATGAACAGGATTGAAGTATTGGACTAAACTGATTTACTCACGATTTGAAGACCAATTTTCATGATAGTTATGGAAGAAAATGGTCGGAATTCATTCCATAAATTGAGCAATGTTCTTCCTAATCGTTCCATCACCACAACAGCTCTAGTTGCATTTGTTGCCGCGAAATAGTGATAGAATTTTGGCATGAAATCTGTGGGAATTCGAGAATTCTTTTCGGTTTCTTTTGAGAAATTTTCAATTACATTTTTAGATAAACTCGTTTTTACCATGATTGCCCATCATTTCATACATATTTTGGTCTTTTATTAGCTCCTCCACAGAGTCGTCTGTTGATTCTTTGAATGCAACACTTTCGGTACGATTTTCTTCCGTTCTTTTACCTTCATTTTGATTTTAAAATACATTCAATTCATTTACACAGTGAAATAGTTAGAAAATAATACCTCCAAAAACTCTTGCGAAACCTCCTACACCAAGAGGTTTGCTTGAATTGTCATATTCATACGTAATTTTACCATCGTGCAAGCGAATTATTTCGCTAAAAATCTAGAGACAGCGAAAAATCATATTCAAAGATTGAATTTTAATTTAAAAAAAACAAAATCTGTATCCAAAATTACCGTTTGCATTAAAATAAGTACCAATGCAATGAATTGGACGATACCACGTACTGAATACATTTCACACAGCCAAACGTTTGTTCAAAATCTGTCCAAATTCTAACAGAGAAATGATAACCCGTTTTGGAAATGCCACAGTTCATATGTCATTGATGATCACTACTCACTTATTTAACTTTCAATTTTGGAGTGAGGAAAGATATGAGCTGCATAACATACTGAATTTTGACCGATTTTGAAGTCGATTGATCGGATATTCTTCGAAAGATATGTCGTAAGTTACAAACGTCCAAATATTGGCTTGAAAAAAGCTCATTGATTCAGTAAAATTGTTGGAATCAACTTATCGCGTTGATTCGATGTAATTCCTGTCATAATCAAGAAAAAACGAAAAACGTTAACAAAGTCAATTCCTGTGCTGAAAGCGAACACTTGTGATATCAATTTTAAAAAATCATTTCGAAGCTATTTTCAGCCTCTTATTTTGCATTCTTTTAATTATTTTTACATCGTTCCGAAAAGATTGCTCAAAATTGATATCACAAGTTCTTTGTTCGTTTTCGGTTCGAGAACTGACGTAAAGTTGTTTTCATTTGATATTTAGTGCTGCTACTGACTCAATAGTTTTGTAATAGAATTTTGCAATAAAATAAACAGCCCAATATGTGTTTTTTCACATTATGTGAATCATATATATCAGAGACTGAAATAACCGGATCTTCTGCCGGTTTTCGGATCTTCTGAACGGAAAAATGCTGCTCTAGTTTTAAATTACGGATCCTCAGAAATTTCAAATGAAACAAAATGTATGCCCAAAGAACGCATACAAAATACTCTTTGATAGAAAATATTACAATAAATTAGGTAAAATTGAATTTCATTAAACATCATATCGAAATATTCGCCTCGCTTCAGTCGCCACGTACAAACTCTAAAGTTGGTTAAGATATGGCAAATATTAAATTCGTTATCGCAAAAACTGTTCACTTTTTCGAATTTTTTGTAAACACCTGCATTCTGAAGTTCGTCAGTTTTTCAATGAATTTCGTTGTTTGAAACAGTTCTGCGTTCACATAATAAATTCTCTCTTTGAAGACTTCGGTTGGAAATCGAAGTTGGATGATTGAATATCCTAAAACACCGATTGTGAAGAAATCATGGCACTAGCATTCACTAATGTGCTGAGTAGGCATTAGGGTGGTTTTTTTTCGGACTTTTTCGAATTTCACATGCGGCAGTA